TAACGAAGACTTCAGTACATTCGCAATTGCTAGATACCACAATGAACTCGTCTTCGACAAACCTATGCGAGCTTTGCAGGCTCTGGAAGTGGTTCTGGCGTCGAATAATCACGCACTTGGTATTAGATCTGGTCGTTCGTTTTATCGTAAGCCCGACGAGTATTACGATTGGGGCGACGGTTATGAAATGTATACGGGGATTTATCAAGCCGCTATTCTAGGCGAAGTACCACTACTGAACGTAGATATTTCTCACAAATCGTTTCCCAAACCTCAATCTTTGGTTCAATGCTTGAAGTATTATAAAATAGATCCACGGTACACAATGGCAGATGGTCGCATCAAGAAGTTCATTCAGCAGTTTTTGAAAGCGATTTACATTACCTACTACATGCCGCCACCTAGCTTCGGAGCCCTGCCAAAAATCTATAAAGTTTTAGATATTGACGATGCACCCGCAAGAATTACAACACGCCCAAAAAAACGCGAAATATCGCTACCAATGGAGTTCTGCTCTGTAACCGAAAATCAAGTCCTAAACGTAAGTAACGGTTCCCGATTCTATAAGACCTTTTGTGATTTTTTTTGTCATCAATACCTAATGAAAAAAGCGTAAGAATGGCAGTATACAAGTCACAAAAATGATCAAGTATGCTACCACATCTACAGACGAGCGGAAAAATAAAATAATGAACTTATTGACGCATTTTTGTCATAGCCAGAGTCCAACCATTCGGGCTTTCGGCATTCAGTTGGGCAGTAATTTTATAAAAATCCATTTCCGTCTTTTGTCACCGCCGGATGTAGAGTATTGCGGCGGCAAAACCGTGCGTCCATGTGAAGGCGCTTGGCAAGTGACAAATGCAAAGTTCTTAGAGACTGTCAACGCCCAACCAGGTCACAAGTGGGCAATAATTTACGAGAACAAAGCATCGATTAGTATGCACGTAGTAATGGAATTCAAAAAGACTGTAACTATGAATGAATTTTCTATTAAATTCTTCGTGATTTACGAAAGACCTTTGCCTTTTAGTTACAAAGAATATCCCGAGACTTTGGCGTAAGATTGGCCGATCAATGTGAAGTAACGGATTTTCACAATATCGAGAGAACTTTAGAAGGTTTTGCAAGGAAGGGTTATGCCCTATTAAGTGTCATTTGCGGATAGCTGTTTCAGTTCTCCTGTTGTTTTCTTTTCGTTTTACTTTCATAACAGGCTGTCGTTGTAATAAGCTACGGTGCGTCCTATTCTATGATAAAACAAAAAGCAGAACTTAGAGTGGGTATTTTGACACAGTGCATTAAGGAAAAAACCGTATCCCGTGCGTATACTGATATGTCAGTAATGAGAAATTTGATGCTAAAACTGAGCGCGAAGCTGAATGGAACCAATCATAAGGTGGCCGAAGAAAAAGAAGAGGGAATAAGGAAGCTTCTGCAGTCCATTCGTAATGTCATGTTTATTGGTGCCGATGTAACGCATCCGTCACCTGATCAGCGCCACATACCCAGCGTGGTGGGTGTAGCAGCATCTCATAATGCTCACGGACCCTGTTACAACACCCAATACAGGCTGCAAATGAAATCTATCATCGAAGATGTTTTAGACGTGTACAAAAGCTACCAAGATCGTTATCCCGATCATATAATCTACTACCGAGATGGGGTTTCGGATGGCCAGTTCCCTATCGTTAGGAGGGAAGAGTTTCGTGGAATACGCCACGCCTGCGCTCAATTGGTGAAGGTTTATTTTCTCGTTTAATGTTTTGTTGTCAAATTTTGTTTATATTCAAGGGTTGCAGGGCGAAAGTGACGTGCATCGTTGTCGTGAAGCGACATTACACACGATTTTTTCCACTGCCTCAAGGAAAGGGTGGAAGAGATTTTAATAACGTGGAACCGGGTACAGTAGTGGATCAATACATTGTCCATCCAAATGAGAAGCAGTTTTTTTTTGGTGAGCCATAAAGCCATACAAGGCACAGCTAGACCAACACGATACAATATCATTGAAGACGATGCCAACTTTGATATCGACGTTTTGCAAAAGCTTACCTATAATATGTGTCATATGTTCCCGAGGTGTAACATGGCAGTTTCCTATCCGGCACCAGCCTATCTGGCTCATCTCGTAGCTTTTAGGGGACGCGTCTACCTGGAAGGATGAGTTTGTAAAATGAATTTCAACGGAACTATCATAAGATTGTATTTTCCTACGACCGTGTAGTGCTACCAGGTTTGGAAATTTGAAAGACGAGTATAGAAGGCGGCGAGTTCATCCCAGTTTAAAAAAATGCAACCCTATGTTCTTCATATAATGTATTATTATTTTCGCCATATTTCACTACAATTGATTATTATTTTTATACCAAATGTTAGAATCTTTAATATACTTAAATATTTCAAAAATGAAATCAGCTTCTTCTATAATTTCCTTTTAAAAGCCTTTAACTAAACAAGAACTTGCGGAGGCCGCTCCATTATCATATGTTGCCTCTTACCGTGCAATTTCCGTAATTCAGAATCAGATTTCTCTTGCTTCGTGAAACGCGTGGGATGAATTATATTCTTCGTTTCTTTTCACTTTATACCCTACACCACTTGGGATAGGCGGTATATAAAGTTAGTGCAATCGTATTTAACACGCGGCAGGGCTGCCTATATTTTATTATGCCGATTCAGAACCATAATCTGAACTGAGCTAAGTCTATCTGTCCATCTGGTGTCTGTTCATGCAGAATTATGTTCAAGCTACAAGTAGCAGTTTTTAAGACATTTTCAAGGATATTTGCTACACTGACGTGCTCTAACCCAAGGACGAACGCTATTGAAAATGATTCGGATCGGTCCACTTTTTCGACCATTTCCCATGCAAAGCCCTATTCTGAAAGGTCGCTCTATGGAATTAAATTTCAATTTTTAAAATTTTTCGAAAAAAGTAGCTCAGTAACAGTATTTCGACATTGTAAATTGGTGTGAAAATGTTAGACCGGCTGCAGCAATTTTTTGAATTCGCTCTCATGTAACGATAGCTGAAGCTCATATGACAATGAAAATCACATCATAATATCAAAATCACGTCGTAATTAAGTGTACCATATTCTCACCATTTGGGCGTAGTTTTGAATCTTACTCAAATAAGGATTTTCACGAAAAGCGATCCTTTTTACTGCAGAAAGCTGGTGAAGGAAATTGACTCATAATAGTAAATTCATACAAATATATGAATTATGTTAGACAATGTGGTGTAGGGTATTCAACGGTCGGCCTTGCCCGACTAGAATTATAAATACGATTATTTCTCTTTGAATTGATTGTAGGGCTATCCAAAAATTTTATACAACTCTCTGCATACATTGGCACAAAGTTAATATATTACAAATGAATTTATGCGAATCTATAAAAGTATGCCGTTGTGATGGTCGAAAATATGTTTTTAATAATGGAATCATTATCGGCGAAATCTAGTAGATATACATTTAAGACTGAATAGAAAGCCAAAGCTATTTGATAGTTTAAGGTAAAGGTAGCGCTGTCTGTGTGCAAAATACAAAAGAGGCACTTATGATGCGACCAACAGTGAATATTTACAAAATCCATAGTGTATTTTAACAACCATTAATTATTTTGGTTACCAAAAGCTATGGTGAGGGGTGACATGAATCGAGCAAAAAGTAAATAAGTCGTTATGGTTGCAACATTAACGAAGAAATTTCGGATGTGTTTGATATATCTTTCAAAGGAATTCAGTTGAGCATACGCTATTTAATTTAAGTTACACTGCTCTCGGTTGATATACAGTACATTCGCTTACCTACCTAGAAGATTTTGCAAAAATGTATTTAGTGGTTTGTGTAATTAATTCCCAACGTTTAATTCCATAATAAATTCACGCCAAGTTAATTAAGTGAGGTAAGTTTCGCTCGTCCGTACATAGATTTCATAGATTTCTTTTCATATGAATTTAGTCAAATAAATTGCATGTGCGTGTAAGTGTATACAAAGAAATATGAAAACGTCAAACTTAATAACAACCATGTTAATGAACTTCGTTAAATGTTTGTGCCGCAGGAAGTGATTGGCGCACGAACTATCAAAATAAAACTTGGAAACTTTGGATACAGGCTTCGATGACAATTTATCCGAGTATAAGGGCAAAAGTCATTTTATTGTGTTGTCCGTCAAACCTTGATTTGAAACTTTTAAATTGTTACATAAGATTTTCTTAGACAATCCCAATAAATTTCCGAATCGAATTTTAATTCCTAATGTTTATGCTATATTCAAAAACGTGACGCACTGAATAAACAAAAAAGGAATTTTAAGTTAAAAAAAACTTTTGAGCAAAAGAAGAGACCAATATTTTGTTAGCTAAGCAGCAGAAGAAGCAACAAAAATTCTTAAGCAAAGTTGAAAATAGAAACGCAGTCAGAAACTTGTACATATGATATGTTTAGAAACTTCAATTGCAAATTAATGGAAACAGTTACAGCAATGCAAATCATAAATAGTATATCAATAGCGACATATAGAGTTTTAGCAGGCAACAGAATACCGTCAGTAGTAATATTGTAAGTGTATACAATTATTGCAATAAGACGAAATTCGTCTTTGCTCAATATTAGCAAATGCAATTATCTCTCTTTGAGTTGTAATTTTCGATTTGACTCGATTCCATTGTTTCATTCTCGCAAACACAAACCAAAAAGCTGGTTTGCATTTTAACAGAGTTGGCTCTTTGGCGTTACCATTTAAGATGTTAAGTTGGACATTTAACCATTTAACAGGGAATTTAGCGAGGGCTTTGTTTAATTTGATAATAAAAATTATGGCAGTCTAATTTTAGGCTAACTTGTAAAATGATTTTTATTATTATTATAATAAATTATTTTCTCAGAGAATAAATTCTTTTCTCTTAGAGAGCTAGCATAAAAAAAAACTCTACCGAACTTGATTTGGCCCATGACCATTGACTTGCTACTCAGGCGGATATATTATTATTATTTTTTGGCATTTTATAAGAAAAAAAAGCAACTTTGAAAATTTCATTAAAAATTGTGTAAAAAAGTCTGTTATAAACAAAAGAAAAAATATGTCAACACAACCAGAGAATTCGTTGTACGACCATTTTGATTTTGTTTCCATTTACCGGGTTATAAAAAAAAAGCACGGGGTGAACACAATGTAATGTATTTCTTCAAAATTTTCTATTTTTTCTTTTTTTTTTTGAAAGTTTCTTGCAATATTAAATTTTAGAAGTTTTCCGCGTTTAACTTGATAATAAAACCTACAAGCACCTATCTTTACTATTTCATTCAGTTGCACAATTTCGCTAGCAATATATGCCCTACAAAATTATTACGCCCTATAAAAAAACAATGTATGCAATACATAAACAGTGTACTGTTTTTGTACAGTTGCTGCATGTAGTATGCAATGTTGTTGATGTATACATAAATGAATTGAACACAATGTCCACTTAATGCCACTTTAGTTGTTGTGTTAATCGCGTAGCTTGGCAACTCTGGATTACACGATATATAACCTGCTTACTCTTAACAGCAGTTTTTACATGTTAAAAGACGAAAGTTAGTTAGTTACTATAAAGCGAGAATTTGAATATATTTTCGTATTTAAGCATAGATATGGAAAATATTTAACAATGAAAAATTTTAATCAATTTATACTTACTTTATATACATGAACACATAATATGAAATAAGAGCAACGGACTGTTACCTTACCAACTTATTGTTGGCGGATTTTGGAAAATTCAAATTAATTCATACATAATCAACTAAACGGTACTTATAACACGAGTTTTAATTATTAAAAATTTCATTAATGAAATCGCTTAAAGCCGTCAGATTTGGACACTACGACTCATCAATGCAAATTTTGAGGTAAAAGTTATCAAATAAGAAAGCAAAATAAAATTTATACAAACATTTTGATTTAATCATTCATATGTGTATGCAAAATTTCTAATATAAGACACGTTTTTAAAGTTGAAATATTACAACAACAACAACAACAAGAAAAGAATTTATATTTTTTGTTTTATATATGTATAAACAAAGGTAGCATTTATTATCCTTGAAAATTTTCCCTCAAGGACAACGTTCTTTCTCACTAGTGTTGATATGCGAAAAACAAACAATTATTTGCATTTTATTGAAATAATAAACATATATGTACGTTGGGTAATCTTGTTCTAAGTAAATTTATTAAGCCTCTGCCAGCCAAAACTCTCATATTTTTAAAGCGAATTGCTTAGATTGCTTGCAGTTTTTTTTTTGTGGGGGGGATTTTTAGACCGCGTACCAACTTTACTCAGTATACTTTTTTTAATTTATTAAAATAAACTTTATGGAAAATAAAAATAGGCGAATTAGAATATTTAATGGTGGATCGTGTCCCGCTATTGTGTTTTCGTTTGTTTAATAAATGTAAAGATACGGATGGAATACCGATATGACAGAATTTTAATAGATTTCCCTAATGCTGTCATAAACTTTCGGTACTTCTCATCCAAATAACGATCTTAACGAATTAAAGTTTATCTCTAGACACTTCCTTATACTCGCCTTTTCGAGCTCCAACACCATAGCGAAATAGAGCTTCTTACCATGAAATTCCAAAATTTCTTTCGAAATATTAATGTATTGCAAGGGCAATTATGAATGCAGGACAACATTAAGATGCTCTGCGTGATTTCTTTTGAATTTACGCAATTGCCTACGAGGTATTCTTAAATTATACAAAAGCTTGATTACAAATAACGTACTTTTATGCCCAAAAAGTACGATCAAGGTCACCTTGGCTCACCACGTTTCCACGATATTCACTCGATTGATCGATTGTTTCCGATATCTGCCACAGCGCCGCCCATTTAGTAAAATTATATTTCTAATATTCGATGTAACCGCGTAATTCAACTTTTTGTCATAATATTACATTCATATATCGTATAGCATATTAATGGAAATTGTTCCTTTGATTGAACCTATACACCTTTTATTTATCAGCAAGCGAAACATACGACAAAAGCCGATTATTACATTGAGTTCTATATATTCTATATCTATAATCTTCTTCGAGAGGAAGTTAATCACATATATCGTAACCTATTATTAATTGTTTTATTTTTGTTACAGAGAAACATTTACGACGAGTTTTCTTAAAATTATTTTTCTTTCTTTCGCTTTTTCCGACGTGTGGAGAATAGTAATATGTCAAAGCAACAAAAATGCCAACCATATGTAATTAATGTTAGCGAGCACAATAACGTAAGCTCAGGCAGCGTTAGCGATTCCCG